TACCCTACACCACATAGTGGTAAGGGTATTATGACTTTGTGCATTTGTTTGTAACATGGAGAAGGAAGCGAGATAGACCCATAGTTACTTTTGAGGATCTCCATAGAGTCATTTTCTGAGTTGATTTATGCATGTCCGTCCGTCCGTCCGTCTGTCCATGTATTCTTGTGAACAAAATGCAGGTCGCATTTTTTATCCGATTGAGATGAAATTTTGCACAAATTATTTGTTTAGCCCAAGGACGAACCCTATTGATATTGGAGATAATCGGTAACAATTTAGATATAGCTCCCATATATATCTTCATCCGATTTGCCTTTAATTGTGTACCAAACGTGTAATATCAGCTCGAATAGTATGGAATTTTGCACATACAACCAAATTAGGCCTGAAAATAAGTATGCCAAATTTGATCGAAATCTGTTCAGATATAGCTATAGCTCCCATATATATATATATTGTTCATCCGATTTTTTATTTTTGTCCTCCGCAGCCGTAATATGTACTCTGTAAACAACAATATTTGGAGAAATATATCAAATGCAGCTCAGAAATAAGTTTGCTAAATTTTATCGAGATCAGTTCAGATTTGGATATAGCTCTCATATATATCTTCGTCCGATTTATTTTTCATTGTGCATCAAACGTCTAATATTTGTCCAATTGGGATGGAATTTGGCACATACGACCGAATTGAGTCGAAGAGGTGGTATGCCAAATTTGGTGAAGATCAGTTTAGATATAGCTATAGATCCCATATATATATTGTTCATCCGATTTGTGGTATTTGTTACCTACTGCCGTAATATGCACTCCGTAACAACGATATTCAGAGTAATATATCAAATACAGCTCAGAAATATATTTGCCAAATTTTAGCGAGATCGGTTCCGATTTGGATATAGCTCCCATATATATCTTTATCCGATTTCAAATTAATTGTGCACCAAATGGGCAATACAAGTCCGAATTTCAAAGGTACAATATTTAGTCCTTTGAATCTACTAAATTAGCAAAGTGGTGTAGAGTATCATAAAGTCGGCCCGCCCGACTTTAGGACTTTCTTTACTAGTTTTTTTACAGAACGAGGAACCAAAAAAAAAAGTCCAAATAGAGAAAAATTTTTTTTTTGACATTTAAGATATCTTCTATGTACGCAAAGTATAAAAAGTGTTGAAGAAGTAGAAGATCTGTAGAAGGTATTTTATTAAAACTATCTTCCAACCAGAACTGCAAAAGGTTATCTAATAGAAAAGATATTTGAAAGAGCCTCAGGCAAAATGTACTTTTTACTCCTAGGGCTATAGCAAGTTTTTTTATAGACAGAGATTTTCAAAACCTCTTCTATGGCAAGTATTCCAATTTCGGACTTCATCTAATACCAGTTAAAATATACAGGATGAGATGAAAAAACTGCAACCAATTTCAGACTGTTGTCATTTCTAAACCACTCGTCCGACAGCCGTTAAAATTATTCCAATCACAGCTCATTATATCGTTTACAATCGTACAAAAGCATTTTGGTGAGAATTTTCTAGAAAAAAAGTTATCCGTGATGAATTCAAGCGTGATAGTGTGATTTCTTTACATTTGGCTGGAAAACCACAAGTGGCTATCGCACTCCTGCATTTAGATGTGAATAAATCCTTTGTGCCTCCTATCATCGCTCGTTACCGTGATACTGGTAGCGTAGCCCGACGTCAAGGAAGTGGACGGAAGAAAACAGCAACATCAGGAGAAATAGTTCGAAAAGTAAAGAAGCGATTTGATCAAAACCCGAGTCGCAGTGTCCGAAAAATGGTTCGTGAGCTGAACTTATCTCAATATTTCATTCGGCAAATATTGAAAAATGAGTTCGGGGCCATTGAACTTCCAAAAAGTGCAAGAACTTACACCGCAACAGAAAGAAAATAGACTCAAAAGAGCTAAAGAGTTGCTTCGCTTGGCCAAAAGTGGTGAACTGCTGAATTGGATTTTCTCCGATGAGAAAACATTCGTTGTCCAGCAGTTTGTTAACAAACAAAATTATCGTGTTCACTTGCCAAAGAGGTCAGCTGGAAAGGTACGGCTTCGGTTGGCCACCAGAACTCAAGCGCCGGCCATGGTGATGGTGTGGGCCGCACTCCGCTCGTATTAATCGACGGTGGCATCAGAATAAATGCCGAATATTATCGCGAAAATATTCTAGAGGGTGTATTGAAGCCTTGGACACGCAAACATTTTGGCCGCAGACCTTGGACATTCCAACAGGACTCAGCACCATCGCACTCAGCACGCGCCACCCAAGAATGGTTATAAAATGAGGTTCCTCGCTTCATTTCCAGCACACAATGGCCACCAAAATCTCCGGATACCAATACGTTGGACTATTGTGTCTGGAGTATTTTGGAAAGCAAGGTTGGCACTAAAAAATACCAAAGTGTCGATCACCTCAAGCAAGCGCTTCGGCCGGAATGGGCCAAAATACCGCAGAAGAACATTCGGGCAGAGAGTGACGATTTCATTGGCCGTTCAGAAAAAATTGTCCGATCTCTACCATCTTTATAACAGATCTTGTGTTGATAGAAGATGTGCAAAATTTGAATGGAATCGGAAGTTTACTTCGCGTTTTATGAGTTTCACGGTTATTCAAAATGTTTACCCTATGTGGAAAAGGTACCAGAAGCAGTGGTCCGATCCCTGTCATATTCATACCAGATCTCGATTCCGAGAGAACCGAATGCTTATATTGGATTTAATAATCGCTTTCGTAATTCAGAATTTTTAGCCTTTGTGGGGGAGGTACCAAAAGAAGTGAACTCATATATTCCATATTCACCCAAGACCTTGGATTAATAAAAAGATTGTGATGTGTGTAATCTGGAGGCAGTCGGACTCTTACATCACATTTTATAAGAGCTATAATTATTTTAATTGTTGGTCCTTAGTGGTGGAGGTACTTGACGGAGTGGCCCGTATTCTCCGTTGTCGCACCTGACCTAGCACTGATGCAAATATTAGGATTTGCAAAGTTGGAGCAAAATCGGATTACCGTTTTTCTTTCTCTGAAGTAAAATATATCTTTGAAAATTTCGAATTTTTGTGCGGGAAGTACCAGAAGGAGTGGATAATCCCTTCCAGTCAGCCAGACAGAAGGAAGGACGAATACCGCTAGATCGACTCAAAATGTCCTGAAACGGATTGGGTCCAAAGAAACCTAGGGTCTAAAACTGTTATTTGGTGAGGCACGGTTTGGCCGTATCAGATGATATAGCCATATGACTGAGGGTGTTAAAAGCGTCATAAAATTGTATATACAATATATATTATAATTTGTAACACTTCGAAATATTATGTCCATATTTGGGGGTTGAAATAGGCCAAAAGCAGAAAAATGTCCTGATTTTGCACTTGCTCCAGAGGTTTTTTATAATATATCAATCGTCTCGGAATTTTGCTGTTTCGGGTGAAATATACCATAACTATTAAACTACGAAAATTCGAAAAAATACGCGAAAAGGTCACTTCTTATAGTTCTACAGATACTGATATTCAAGAAAATATTTTTTTTCGAATCTTTTCTGTCAGTGGAAGACCTTTGAAAAGTCAAAATAAAGACGTTTTGCCTTTTGAAAGTCACCTAACCGAGAAGACCTTCGGAGGCCCTATTTCTTTAAATCTTTTGAAGTTCTTCTTTTTCCCGAAAGGACGTTTTCTCTGTCTCCAGAAGATATTTTGATGGTAGAATACCTGTGCAGATTATTCTGAAAGTCTATGCCTCTAGAAGGTATTTTGAAGCTTTTCTATGTTCTTAAGGATTCCCTAGAAGACTTTTTCATGGATTTGTGTCCAAAGTTGACAGTTTCTTTTTTACCTCTGGAATGCCTTAAAAGGCCTCCTGTTGCCTTAGATGGTCTTTTGTCCATAGAAAACATTTTGCCGATCAGCTATCTCTCGAGTAATATTCAAACCACTTCTAGTTGTGGAAGACCCTCTGAACGTCTATGTCTTGATAGAGCTTTTGAAGTATTTTCTTTGCTGAGCTTCTCTCTTTGAAGGTCTTATGATTTTAGGAGACCTTGGGAATATCTTCTTGACATGGGTGACCTTTTATTGGTCTTCCACTCTTTGTGGTATTCTTCTAAAGGTACCCTTGTGTGGAAGATATTTTTTTAGGTTATTTGTCTGGAAAACAAATTGGGAAGTTCTTTTTTACAGAAAGCCTTTTTAAGTTCCTTATGTTATAGAGAACCCTTAAGAAGATCTGAAGTCTTTGGTATACATAGAATGTTTTCTGTGTTGAGGGCCTTAGCTTTATGGAGGACTATTTGAAGAAACTTTTCTTCTTTAGAAGACATATGAAGGTCTTCCCTCTTTGGAAGACCTTTTTGAGGTCTTCTGTCCATAGGATGAAGTTATAGATAGAACATTAATTGGTTGCCCTCTCCCTCTGTCTTAATCTAAAATTCCTACTAAAAGTTCTCTGTGTCTGGAATGCCTTTTGGAGAACGTCTATTTCTAGAATATAATTTCAAAGCATTTTGTTCCTAATTCGCCTTTTAGAGGTCTTTTAATTAAATTCCCTTTAATAAATACCTCCTGAGATCCTCTCTGTGAGGATAACTTTTTTTTTTGTCGTTTTCTCTCCATTTCTTCACATTTTCTATTTACAATTTTCCATCAATTTTCATTTCCGGACAATGCCTCATTGCAAAAACCTAATTCAATTTCACAAAATCCGAAAATTTATGAGACCTCTAACGGCCAATGTGATTACATTTTCAACACAATTCCTGGCTAGCAACACCAAACTCATATATTTCGTATAATTTATGTTACACCAAAATCCCATTGCAAGTTGCCCCATTTGCAGCATAAAGCCTTCATAATTTTTCTGCGGAATTTTTTTTTCAACCAACCTGTCTGCATTCAGGCAACAACTAAAATAAGTTTTCTTTCTTTTTACACTATCCTGGCATTTTTCATTGACTTTCTCTTTTCTCTTCCACTGTTTCTTACAGAAAACAAATTATCCGACCAGGAAGCATTGGAGGAAATACGACAACTCAGCGTACAACTGCAGCGTATACAGGAAATGGCCCCACCCAAGGGTGTGGCGGTAATGACAATATCCAGTCTGTTGGATGGGCTGAAGACTCCCGGCAGCATGGTAATGGTTGCGGCAGCAGCCTCCCAGGCCGTATCAGGCGGTGGAAATCAATTAACCGTGCGACCCAATAAACCGGAAGCACTGCCGTTACTCTCGCTGAACAGCGAAATGCAGAAATACACACAAATGCAACAACAGCAGCAGCAACAACTGCAAAAAACCAACAACAATGTGGTGTTACCAGCCAATGTACCGTCCACCAAGATAACAATGGCCACACCGTCAGTGACGACCACTGCATCGCCCAAGGATACGGTGGCTATCGAGGAGAAGGCCATAAATACTGAGTTGAGCGGAAATTGTGTGGCCGAAGAGGAGCTCAAACAACAACATATCATTTGTGAGCGTTGCTATGAACGGTGTAGGCTAGATGGTCATCAGCAGGGGTGCCCGGGTGAGACCGCAGCCAAAACAACAACAACAACAACAACAGCACTGAGTAAATGTCAACTCTTGGGTTCACCACCGCACGAGGGTAGTCTTACATTTAAGGATATTAAATTGGAGTGCATGTGTTCACAATCCGATGACTTGGATCAGTGGCCGACAAAGCGGGTGACCAAAAGGACAGCAGCCACCAATACCCCACCACCTGCCATGGGTTTGAGGGGTTCTCGCAAACAAGGTGGGCGCCATCATCGCCACAAAGATGCCAAATTGTTGAGTAGCTCCAGTCTGCCCTGTGATGATAGCAGCAGCAACACAACGACTACCACAAAATTTAGTTATTTAAGTCAAAAACAACAACAACAAAAACAGAAGCAGCAGCAACAACAACAACAACAAGAACCCTTGATATGTGATAATTGTAAAACTAAATTCAAAAATCAAAGTGGCAAAGCCTCCACCTCCAAACAGCATAGAAAACTAAGTAGACTAAGTTCCAAGTGTAGCAAACTGCTGAGCGATATTGAGAAAACGCAGCATATTTCCAAGAGTGCCACCACCACAGCTACGGCAACAACAACGGCCATGGGTCTTGGTGCCACTGGCTTACAGCGGGCCATAGACAATGCCGATACAAGTTCCATACAAAAACAATATTCCACCGATGATATAATTTTTTACACAACCACCGATTCAAGCTCGACCGAAGACGAAGACGATGATGATGAAGACGAGGGCGAAGGAGAAGAGGCGGAAGCGGATGATGACGATGACACATCACATTCCGAGAATGCAGAAGAGCCAGAGGCTGAAGATAAATTGCCCGCAAAATTATTTGCCGACGACTCTTCAAGTTTGTCCCAAAGTAAAAGTGAATCCAAGGTCCCCGCAGCTAATCAAGGAATTGAAGAACTGCCCACAGGTCAAGATTTCAAAATCATATCACAATCTTTGTTCAACATCACCGGTGGCGGCAGCAGCACCAATACACCGAAACGTTCTGCCGCCGCTGCTGCGGCTACTTCTGCAGGAAATTCCAATAATGCCTTATTAGATAACAAAACGAGAGCGACCACATCGGCTGCCAGTGGTTCCAATGCCACACAGCCCGGACAGTCGCAGCAACAGTCGACGACAGCCAATGGTAATGGCAAGACGAAAAGACCCGATAAACTGGTCTTAAATCTAAATGATCGTTCTAAATTCACCAAAGAAGTTTCCGTTTGAAAGAGTCATCTTCATAATGTTTGGTTTCAGTTGTTGTAAAGAGAGAATATTTTTGATTTTTAGTAAAATATATTGTTTTTTTTTTTTTTTTTTTTTAATTTTATCTAGAATAGAATTTGAATTAAAAATAACAAAAAAAAAAAACGGGAATTGAAAACAACTAAAGATAAAGGCTATTCTAACGCTCTTTATCAAATATAGTACCATTTCGACACTTTGTAGTACACATTTCGAAATTATAACAATAGTCATACTCATACTAATCTGTGATATTCCCACTCTTTTCCTACATCATATGCCGAATTTAGTACCATTTTTTTTACTTTTGGTACACATTATGCGAAAAGCTTCGGACTGATAGTAATGTAGGTTATTGTCAAAATGTATACTCTAGCACATTTCGATTTCGTAATTTTCATAGTACACATTTCGAAAACAATAATCTATTATAGAGCCTAATTCCCAAAAATTATTCATATTCGAAGTGTCAAGATTGCGTTAATGGTACCAGATGTAATGATTTTTGGTACTTTTAGTACATCTATAGTTCGAATTTCCAAAAAATTGTTAAGACATATATTCTATATTCAAACGGCGTACGTCATTTTCCAATTCTTTGGATTCAACTTGTAGTACCTTTAAATATTTTTAGTACACGTATAGCTCGAAATGTCAAAAATCCCAGCCTTTACCGCCCAACACATCATGCAAAGTTTTAAGATCTATTCGGCCACTTTCTCTACTCTTTTTTATACCCTCAACATACATACAGGGTGAGATAAAAAACAAGTAAAAAAGAATCGGTCGGTTTTGCCGACAGATGTATACCCTCAGCCCTATTCACCCTCTATCCCACCTAAATAAATATGATATAAATATTATTATATATATAAAACTAATTATATATAAAAAAATAAATTATAGTAAATGGATATAGCAATTGTAAAGAATCGCTGAGTTGCTTCGCAATTTATGATAGATGAAAATATTGAAAATTGTGTCCCTTTGTGGGTGAGGTGCCAGAAGGTGTTCGAAGATATATAGCATCTTCACAACAGATCTGGTGTTAGCAAAAATTATTGTATGTGTGAAATTTGAAGAGAGTTGTATCCTTATTTCGCTTTCTTTAAGGGTTATGTTTTTCAAAATTAGATTATTGCTTCCCTTTCTGGGCAGAAAATATATATTTTAAAAATTTCGCCCATTTGTGGGGGAGGTACCAGAAGAAGTGGACCGATATACTCAATCTTAACACCAGACCTTGACTAATAAAATGATTGGAATGGGTGAAATTGGAAGACAATCGAACTCTTAAATCACATTTTATGATAGTTGTAATTATTCAAAATTTTGACCATTTGTGGGGGAGGTACTTGAAGGAGTGAACCGATATTGTCCATTTTCGGACCAGACCTAGCACTGATGCAAATATTAGGATTTGCAAAGTTGGAGCAAAATCGGATTATCCCTTCTCTTTCTGTGCAAAAAATATATTTTTTGCAAATTTCGATCTTTTGTGGAGGAGGTACCAGAAGGAGTGGACACACCTGACCTAGCACTGATGCAAATATTAGGATTTGCAAAATTTGGAGCAAAATCGGATTTTCCCTTCTCTTTCTGTGCAAAGAATAAATTTTTTGCAAATTTCGACCTTTTGTGGGGGAGGTACCAGAAGGAGTGAACCGATATTGCCCATCTTCGAACTCGATCAAAGTTTGACAAAAATATTACGGTGTACCAAGTTTGGACCAAATCGGATACTCCCTTCGAGAGTTATCGTGCGCACCAGGCAGACAGACGGACGGACGGACATCGCTAGATCGACTCGAAATGTTCTGAAACGGATTTGGTCCAAAGAGACCTAGGTTCTAAAACCTTTATTTCGACTAGGCACATTTTGACCGTATCAAATGATATATACCCTCTGTAGCCATATGGCTGAGGGTATAAAAACTGCACCAAAGTCAAACGCCATAATTTTTAACTTTTTTTTTATACCCTCAGCCATATGGCTACAGAGGGTATATATCATTTGATACGGCCAAAACGTGCCTAGTCGAAATAACGGTTTTAGACCCTAGGTCTCTTTGGACCAAATCCGTTTCAGAACATTTGGGGTCGATCTAGCGATGTCCGTCCGTCCGTCCGTCCGTCCGTCTGTCTGTCTGTCTGTCTGGCTGGCTGGTGCGCACGATAACTCTCGAAGGGAGTATCCAATTTGGTCCAAACTTGGTACATCGTAATATTTTTGTCAAACTTAAATCGAGTTCGGAGATGGGCAATATCGGTCCACTCCTTCTGGTACCTCACCCACAAAAGTTCAAAATTTTCAAAAAATTTAATTTTTGCACAGAAAGAGAAATTATAGTCCGATTTTGCTCCAACTTTGCAAATCTTAATATTTGCGTCAGTGTGAGGTCGGGTGTGAAAATGGAAAATATTGGCCCACTCCATCAAGTACCTCCTCCACAAATGGTAAAAATTTTGAATAATTACAACTCTCATAAAAGGTGATGTAAGTGTCCGATTGTCTTAAAATTTTACACATCCCAATATTTATTAAAACCTAAGGTCTGGTATTAAGATGGAATATATCGGTCCACTCCTTCTGGTACCTCCCCCACAAAAGGTCGAAATTTTCAAAAAAAAAAAATATATATTTTTTTTTTGCACAGAAAGAGAAAGAATAATTCGATTATTCTGCTACTTTGCAAATCCTAATATTTGCATCATTGCTAGGTCTGGTGCGAAAATGGAGAATATCGGTCCACTCCTTCTGGTACCTCCCCCACAAAGGGTCAAAACTTTAAATAATCACAACTCTCATAAAATGTGATGTAAGAGTCTGATTGTCATGAAATTTCACACATCCCAATATTTATATTAACCCAAGATCTGATGTTAAGATGGAATATATCGGTCCACTCCTTCTGGTACCTCCCCCACAAAAGGTCGAAATTTGCAAAAAATATATTTTTTGCACAAAAAGAGAAAGGATAATCCGATTTTGCTCTCACTTTGCAAATCCTAATATTTGCATCAGTTCTACGTTAGGTGTAAAAATGGACAATATCGGTTCACTCCTTCAAGTACCTCCCCCACAAATGGTCAAAATTTTGAATAATTACAAATCTTATAAAATGTGATGTATGAGTCCGATTGTCTTCGAATGGCGCACATTCCAATATTTATATTAACCCAAGCTCTGGTGTTAAGATGAAGTATATCGGTCCACAGCTTAGGTACCTCCCCCACAAATGGTCGAAAATTTGAGATATATATTTTCTGCACAGAAAGGAAGCAATAATCTAATTTTGAAAAACATAACGCTCAAAGAAAGCGAAATAAGGATTCACACATACAACACCAGATCTGTTTTGAAGATGATCCTATATATCTGCGAACACCTTCTGGTACCTCACCCACAAAGAGACACATTTTCAATATTTTTATCTGTCATAAATTGCGAAACAACTCAGTGATTCTTTACAATTGCTATATCCATCTGCTATAATAATATTTATATCATATTTATGTAGGTCCGATACGAAATTGACAATATTGACCCATTCTTTAAGAGGGTGAAGAGGACTGAGGGTATACATCTGTCGGAAAAGCCGACCGATACTTTTTTACTTGTTTTTTTTTTTTTTTTTGAATGAAAGCAAGAAATGTCGGAAATAGCATCAAATTTTGGAATAGGTTTTGATATATTCGAATTGGTCACCTTTGGCACGAATTATGGCCAGTGAAACCGTCACACACTGGCCAAATGTTGCTCTGCGGCATTTTGGCCCACTTCCGGCGAAGCTTGAGGTGATCGACACTTTGGTATTTTTTTAATGCCAACCTTGCTTTCCAAAATACTCTAGACACAATAGTCCAACGGATTGGTATCCGGAGATTTATTGTTTGTGTGTTTTAGCTTCTTGACCTTAGGTTTCATATACAAATTAAAACAAAATAATTTTATTTTGTATTTTATTCCCGACGTTTCGTCGCTGTTTTGGCGACTTCTTCTGGGGAATTCGTCTATTTAAATAAATCAAAAATTAACATTTCAATTTCATATTAATTCACAAGATGAGATAAACTTACAATATAATTTTTAAGACGAGTTTACATAGAACATATAATAAACTACACTACTTAAAAATTAATATCACAGTTTTTTACTTTATTGCCACTCCATAGCACGAACTTATGTTGTCAGTATCTTCTTTTAGGTTCATCGTCTTGTCAATATGTTGTTGTATTCTAAGGCTCTCAATCATTAGTCTTTTCTTTTCTATTTTCTCTTTGTCTAATATTTCTATGCTATCAAAGTCTGGTGAGTGGCCAGTGTGAAAGGCATGTTGTGATAGCGCTGTTGTCTCCTTTTGTTTTTCTATGTCCGACTTGTGTTCGCTCATTCGTGTGCTTAGTGATCGCTTTGTTGTTCCAATGTATATTTTGTTACAGCTTTCATTCGCTTTGCCTTTACATGTAATTTTATAAACAACGTTGTTCTGTTGTTGTTTGTCAATAGGTGTTTTTGTGTTTGTAAATATTGTGCTTAACGTTGTGTTGGATTTATATGCAAAGTTAATGTTGTTGTTGTTAATGATTTGTCGCAGTTGTTTGTTGTCAAATAACCCAGGGATGTAAGTTACACCGTAAAAACTTTTTGGTTCTGTCTTTTCATTATCCGCCGGTGTTTTGACATCTCTCTGTATTTTTGTTTTAATTTCGTCAATTATGTCCATATAACTTTATATGGAAAACTATTGTATTTTAGAATTTTAAAAATTGTGTCAGTGTTCTTATTATGGAATTTTGCGTCACTAATGTTGAATATTCTATGTATGAGATTTTTGGCAGTATTAAGGATTTGTGTTTTCGGCTGTGTTGCATGATAGTTGATTATTCTACCAGATGATGTGTCTTTTGTGTACCAGTCGAATTCTATGTTTTGGTTGTTTCTAATTAATCTTGCATCTAAGTATGATATTGAGCCTTCTGTTTCAGTTTCCATGGTAAATTGTATTTTGTTGTGGTATT